TCTTACTGAACGAGACTATCTATATATCTTACTGAACAAGAAAATCTATATGTCTTACTGAACGAGAATATCTATATATCTTACTGAACGAGAATATCTATATATCTTACTGAACGAGAATATCTATATATCTTACTGAACGAGAATATCTATATGTCTTACTGAACAAGAAAATCTATATATCTTACTGAACGAGAATATCTATATATCTTACTGAACGAGAATATATATATATCTTACTGAACGAGAATATCTATATATCTTACTGAACGAGAATATCTTTATATCTTACTGAACGAGAATAATTACATATCTTACTGAACGAGAATATCTATATATCTTACTGAACGAGACTATCTATATATCTTACTGAACAAGAAAATCTATATGTCTTACTGAACGAGAATATCTATATATCTTACTGAACGAGAATATCTATATATCTTACTGAACGAGACTATCTATATATCTTACTGAACGAGAATATCTATATGTCTTACTGAACGAGAATATTTATATATCTTACTGAACGAGAATATCTATATATCTTACTGAACGAGAATATCTATATATCTTACTGAACGAGAATATCTATATATCTTACTGAACGAGAATATCTATATATCTTACTGAACGAGAATATCTATATATCTTACTGAACGAGAATATCTATATATCTTACTGAACGAGAATATCTATATATCTTACTGAACGAGAATACCTATATATCTTACTGAACGAGAATATCTATATATCTTACTGAACGAGAATATCTATATATCTTACTGAACGAGAATATCTATATATCTTACTGAACGAGAATATATTATATATATTATTTTATCTTATGAGCTTATGATTTGTATATTGTTCTTCGCGAGAATATCTATATTTCTTACTATACAAGAATATATATCTTACTTCATGGCAATATTTCACTATCATCCTGAAGCAGGGTATCCAAAAATTTACTGAATTACACACTCCAATTATTCGACTTGATCAAATTATCCATTACTTTTTAAAAATAAATATCTATAAATTCTTCTGAATTAGAAAATCAATCAAATCAACATTATAATTAATCATGCTGTTCATTCAGTCTACTGAACCAGAATATCCATTAATTCTACGTAGTAAGAGCATTCATCAATTATACAGAGTAATTAACAGTATCCATTATTTCTACTGAACATGATTATCCATCAATTATACAGAATACTTAACAGTATCCATTATTTCTACTGAACATGAGTATCCATTAATTATACAGAATACTTAACAGTATCCATTATTTCTACTGAACATGATTATCCATCAATTATACAGAATACTTAACAGTACCATTATTTCTACTGAGCGTGATTATCCATTAATTATACAGAATACTTAACAGTATCCATTATTTCTACTGAACATGATTATCCATTAATTATACAGAATACTTAACAGTATCCATTATTTCTACTGAACATGTTTATCCATTAATTATACAGAATACTTAACAGTATCCATTTTTTCTACTGAACATGATTATCCATTAATTCTAAGGAATAATTAACAGTATTAATGAATTCTACTGAGTATATATTGCAAGTCTTGTTGCATGGCTATCCCATGTGATATAAACAAGAAGTACTTGTTATTAGCTATATAATCATCACAAAATAGTTCTTGGCGAACGAGAGATTAATCAGCTTTATTCACAACACATAATATTGGCTTCGTTCATTAGTATTTGTTAAATATGTTTACAAAAGGTAGTTTTTCACTAAATATTTAATTGGACGATGAAGATAGCCTTCGAACGTAACGTTATGGTCAAGTGCAGTGCAACAAAAAATTGTCTGGGCACTGGGCCTAATTGGTGCACACCTGTTCTCTTGGTTTACTACATTCCACAATACCTACTCTTCTTTAAGTGTGTGATTTATAGACACGGCGAGAAAACGTATCCCAAGGACGATTGTATCCTGCAGAACCAGTGTAACATGGCAGTGTATTCTTCACCAGGTCTCTGTAGCATACCTCCACTTAAATGATTCGGGAAGTCTTATCTTCCAAGATAACACGATGTCAAACGAGATATCATGGCTATATGGCCGCCGTGCCAACTGATGATGTTGAAGTCTGGGATAGCAGCACTGTGCACTCTTCAACACGTTTTACGAAATTTCATATCACATTATCGTATAAAAGAAACTAAGAAATATTTTTCTAGAGCTGGAAACAAATATGGCAGCGATAAGAATCCTAACAGAGAATATGTCATTTTGATCGACATTTCACTTCACCATGGTGTGAAACTGACTACTGACTGTTGATTTTGTAGTAGTTACCACAGTGAATGGTTTGAAATTCACTAGTTTTAGAAACGAAAAACAAACGCCTGTTAACAACGGTAACAAGTCTAGTGGATGCCTACTGAGCGTAAACAGAGGCAAAGTGACACCATGTCAGATTCCAGTTAAGTACCGTCTTTACAGTCTCTGGCTTATTGACCCGTGTCAATCAATGTCCCAGGTGCTGATAACAGGCCTTGTTTCTTTTTATTCTCAAATTTCGTTCCTGAGAAAATCTGTCCATATGTAAATTATTTTTCCTTCGTAGAGAGGTTTCAGGTTGTCTGAATACCGTGAAAGGAAACAGAAACATATCATACCTCATAGCTCTAACACAGAAAGAAAAGATGATTTTAACACATTCATTCTCGCGAAGAGCAGAAAATATACAAAGCAAACATACTTTAAAAGATGTTTTATTTGAGAGTCTCTTCATAGGTTCTAGAATTCCCTAAAACGCCAAATTGTTTTGTGCTGTTATTTTGGTAAAACTATTATTTGAAACAACGTTAAGAATTCTTCACCATAGAGCTATATCTGTATTGTAATCAAATTTCAAACAATAGTTAATTACAGACAATGGATCATCATTAACTACAAGTCATCGTTGATTACAGTTTGACTTATAACTATGAATTTCAAACTCATAACGGGTAATTATTAATTACAATATGATAACGAGTTAATTACAGACCAGAAAATGCTTACTGTCAATAACAGCTTTGTTTAGAGTTATTTTAATTACAGCCTTATTACGAGTTAATACTAATTACAAGCTGATAATGGTGTATTCTTGATTACAATTTGAATTTCAATTGATTACATTTAAATAATCTCATGACAAGTCGTTCCTTATTACAGATTGATAGAGACTTATTACAAATTACAGTTAGATTTAGAATTGTTTGTTATTTCAATATGATAACGATATGTTGCTTATTACAATATGATTTATCATTGTTAATTACAAATTCCTAACAACATCTTTGTAAAAAATTTATTTAAAGCTCTTTTATAGTTAGAATTTCGTTAAGAGGTGTTATGAACAAATTTTGTTCCCGAAAGTATAACTACTAGCTATTATGACTAATAATGATTACGTATCATTGTTAATTACAATGTGATTATAAGCTGATGTTAATTACGGTATTCATACTGGTTGTGTCCTGTTGTGACATAACCCAGACATAAGTTATATGTAACAGTAGCAGTGTTGGTAAGCTGTACAGTGCAGTACTTTATCCCACAACTGTATCCTCCCTGATACGGTGCAGCAAATTATCAGATACACTAACGGTCTGGTTAAAAAGGACACCGTGTCGCTATCAGCAAGGTGCAAAACACAAGCACTAGTTGGAAAAACACTTCCGGATTTTTTTAACGTGTTATTCACCCCCTAACTACTCTCGTGTTGTGACAAACAAAATACTTGTGTGTAGCATGACGTGATATCAACATTTGCTTCTTTAAACATCTGATAAAAAACCGTAATGGTTTCTCTCTTATCTGTCTTTTTTTTTCTCTTCGATAGAAGTGAAGTTATTTTAGGGAATTCCTTAAAAATTAAAGTGAATAAACAAATATCAGAAAATGCATTTAAATTAATACTGTTCGTTTTATAGTCTGTGTTTATCTTTATACATGTTGTGGATTTTAACTATTGTACAAAAGATTTGGCTTATGATACGAGATACCTACAACACTCGCTCAATAGAAATAAGGCATGTAGATAAATTCATTTGATGTGTTAATCACATTTTCATAACAAAACAAGATTACAAAGATCTCCTTTCTTCATCATACAAACTATGAATAATGGGATTACACATACACTAATGCACAATGCATATCATCTGTATGTATTACATGTAGTTTTATTTTGAAAATTGCTACCATTTCACGTGTGTATATGTTTAACGCTGTGTATACATACTGCGCCTCTTAGCTATGAAATATACATATATATTTATTCATATTACGACTTTGCAGACAATTCTGTTATTAGGCCTTTGGTTCTGAATTGAAATGAATAAATACAAATAGCAGTAATAAGAATACAACAAAAATGATGAAGAATTAACAAACTATACTCTTGTCTCAACTTGGCAAGCTTTACATAAAATCCTCGATTCAAATAGTATGCCTTAACTAAGCCACGCTGACAGAATGTGTGTAATTCTAATCTTTTGAAAAAACAATTTAGACTCCTGATGAAGACATAGAGCAAGATGTCAAAAGACGTATTTTTTATATCTACACTACGACCTAATTTTGTGTTTTTGTTTTGATTTTAGCCTGTGCTTCATCCCCTATAAGAACATGGGTTCTAAAATACTTATCATGTATAAAATGATATATATTTAATTTACAGATATTAACATATGCGCTGAACAATTTCCTGCATGTACCTCACAAACTATGCATTTATCGTATAACATGTGATGAAAGCACTTGCTGAAGAACACACAGCTTTTTCTACTTTATTGTTTATAAATACGTCATAGTTGTATAAAATACGCATGAGTCGATAACACATTTTAATATATTTTAAAATTATAAATATGTACTAGATTCTTAAAGTAACAAAAAGATACATGTAAAAATATAGTATGATACATGTTGTGTTAGATAGTGTGACGAAACTTGTTTTCTTTTCAGTTTACTTATTGGTTCAACGATTTGAAGTCCTTGGACACGCGGCTACTGTACAATCCACTTCTAAGCATTCCACTTTCCGGTATGATTCCTCATAGACCCAAAGGTAAAGACTTTTTGTCAGACTTATATCTAATACATGTTATAGCGATTCATCAGTCCACTTTATTCACCAAACTTCAGTAAATCATGGTTTGAAATAATGAAATACCAATAACATGAACCCGAACCTTGACCTCATGACCTCAGGACCTCATGCATCGAAGGCCACCCATTTCATTTTTATTGAAACACTACTGTATGATTAACATAATATGTACTTATCTGAAACTGTCCACTGTCAATATCCCTGCATATTAGATCTACGTTTTACCTATGGGGTAATGATGAAATATTCCTTACTATCATTTATAAATGACATACATTAGCTACATCAGTATGTGTTAGATCTACATCACCTACATCAGTATGTGTTAGATCTACATCACCTACATCAGTATTTGTTAGGGTCTACATCACCTACATCAGTATGTGTTATATCTGCATCACCTTCATCAGTATTTGTTAGATCTACATCACCTACATCAGTATCAGTTAGATCTACATTACCTACATCAGTATGTGTTATATCTACATCACCTACATCAGTATTTGTTAGGGTCTACATCACCTACATCAGTATGTGTTATATCTGCATCACCTTCATCAGTATTTGTTAGATCTACATCACCTACATCAGTATCAGTTAGATCTACATTACCTACATCAGTATGTGTTATATCTACATCACCTACATCAGTATGTGTTAGATCTACATCACCTACATCAGTATCTGTTAGATCTACATTACCTACATCAGTATGTGTTATATCTACATCACCTACATCAGTATGTGTTAGATCTACATCACCTACATCAGTATGTGTTACATCCATCATCTACATCAGTATGTGTTAGATCTACATCACCTACATCAGTATGTGTTACATCCATCATCTACATCAGTATGTGTTACATCTACATCACCTACATCAGTATGTGTTAGAACTACATCACCTACATCAGTATGTGTTAGAACTACATCACCTACATCAGTATGTGTTACATCTACATCACCTACATCAGTATGTGTTAGATCTACATCACCTACATCAGTATGTGTTACATCTACATCACCTACATCAGTATGTGTTACATCTACATCACCTACATCAGTATGTGTTATATCTTCATCACCTACATCAGTATGTGTTATATCCTACATCACCTACATCAGTATGTGTTAGATCTACATCACCTACATCAGTATATGTTAGATCTACATCACCTACATCAGTATGTGTTAGATCTTCATCACCTACATCAGTATGTGTTACATCTATATCACCTACATCAGTATGTGTTACATCTACATCACCTACATCAGTATGTGTTATATCTTCATCAACTACATCAGTATGTGTTATATCCTACATCACCTACATCAGTATGTGTTAGATCTTCATCACCTACATCAGTATATGTTAGATCTACATCACCTACATCAGTATGTGTTATATCTACATCACCTACATCAGTATGTGTTACATCTACATCACCTACATCAATATCAGTTAGATTTTATGCAAAATTATTAAAAACGTTATTTAACACAGTCTGAATATGTTTTTTAGAACATGCAATAAAGTGAAGTAATTAGCAATTGTACTTATCAAATGTACTTATCTGAAACTGTCCACTGTCAATATCCCTGCATATTAGATCTACGGTTTACCTATGGGGTAATGATGAAATATTCCTTACTATCATTTATAAATGACATACATTAGCTACATCAGTATGTGTTAGATCTACATCACCTACATCAGTATGTGTTAGATCTACATCACCTACATCAGTATTTGTTAGGGTCTACATCACCTACATCAGTATGTGTTATATCTGCATCACCTTCATCAGTATTTGTTAGATCTACATCACCTACATCAGTATCAGTTAGATCTACATTACCTACATCAGTATGTGTTATATCTACATCACCTACATCAGTATTTGTTAGGGTCTACATCACCTACATCAGTATGTGTTATATCTGCATCACCTTCATCAGTATTTGTTAGATCTACATCACCTACATCAGTATCAGTTAGATCTACATTACCTACATCAGTATGTGTTATATCTACATCACCTACATCAGTATGTGTTAGATCTACATCACCTACATCAGTATCTGTTAGATCTACATTACCTACATCAGTATGTGTTATATCTACATCACCTACATCAGTATGTGTTAGATCTACATCACCTACATCAGTATGTGTTACATCCATCATCTACATCAGTATGTGTTAGATCTACATCACCTACATCAGTATGTGTTACATCCATCATCTACATCAGTATGTGTTACATCTACATCACCTACATCAGTATGTGTTAGAACTACATCACCTACATCAGTATGTGTTAGAACTACATCACCTACATCAGTATGTGTTACATCTACATCACCTACATCAGCATGTGTTAGATCTACATCACCTACATCAGTATGTGTTACATCTACATCACCTACATCAGTATGTGTTACATCTACATCACCTACATCAGTATGTGTTATATCTTCATCACCTACATCAGTATGTGTTATATCCTACATCACCTACATCAGTATGTGTTAGATCTACATCACCTACATCAGTATATGTTAGATCTACATCACCTACATCAGTATGTGTTAGATCTTCATCACCTACATCAGTATGTGTTACATCTATATCACCTACATCAGTATGTGTTACATCTACATCACCTACATCAGTATGTGTTATATCTTCATCACCTACATCAGTATGTGTTATATCCTACATCACCTACATCAGTATGTGTTAGATCTTCATCACCTACATCAGTATATGTTAGATCTACATCACCTACATCAGTATGTGTTATATCTACATCACCTACATCAGTATGTGTTACATCTACATCACCTACATCAATATCAGTTAGATTTTATGCAAAATTATTAAAAACGTTATTTAACACAGTCTGAATATGTTTTTTAGAACATGCAATAAAGTGAAGTAATTAGCAATTCTCGCAGTTATTCTACAAACCATAATTGATAAAGAGTCACTTATTTCCTACCTTTGATATGTACGTGTGAGAACAAATGACCTTTATCAATGTGGATAATAACTATGTGATCCGGATAACTTTAAATGTAGCTTGAAGGGACACAACTCTCGAATATGACGCTAAATTGAAGAGGATACTTTCTATAAATCACATCCTAATATAGAGATTAAAAACACAGAATTTTAATCTGAGCGGGGTCGATATTTTGGTTTCGGTCCCCCTTCAGCATTGCCAACTTAAGCAGCATCTAATTAACCCGTTTTCCTTCCTCACATAATCATAAATTATGTTGATAAAGTTAGTTTATTTCTTTAGTAGATTTCTTTCTTAATCTTGACCGTATAAGGAAAAAAACCACGTGAAATCCTGATTTATTTATTAGCTAGCTATGGTCTTCATTTACCGATAATAGAATACAAAACAGTTTTTACACTAACTGATAAAGGGAGGGAGGAATACCACAACAATTAATTTCGTTACACTTCAATGGTCTCCTGACTAAGAATTCTTGCATATTTTGTCTGTAAAATGAGCTTAAACAGTATAACTGATTTTTGCTTACAGAGATAAGAAAGCTATGATATAGTTATTTCATGAAGCTATTTACAACTGATATCCTTAATATCACTAAATACATTCTAATGCTAATTGTTGTTCGTTTGTGATCCTTCAGCCTTTTTTTCTTTTTTCATTTTCTTTTTATTTGAAATGAAGATTATAAATAAAAAGAAAATAAAACATTTTTGAAAATGTACCTACACATTAACGCTATACCTCTTCTTATTTTTTAAATTTATTTTTTTTTATTTTTTTTTTTTTTTTTTTTTTGTTTTTTGTTTTTTTTTTTGTTGCTTTGTTTGTTTGTTTGTTTGTTTGTTTTTGTTTTTGTTTTTGTTTTTTTCTATCCCTTTTTTCTTTGTAGCTGTTCTTTCGGTTTGATGTTATCCTTTATAGGAACGTTTTCATTGAAATGAAAACAATTCCGCCTTATTGTAGCGTGTAATGATTTTTTTTTCTTATCTGCTTATTTGCTTACTGACATGCTACAAATACATGTTCCTTTTCGACATTTAGAGCATAAACAAATAAACCTAAGCCGTATCCAATACTTCAACCATTTATTGTCAGGTTTTATTGGCAAAAACTACACTAGATATTACTGAATATAAACAAAACATGTATTTTAAATTGTAAATTATCTCCCTTGATTATGCTCTTATATTGAACAATGCATTTCATTAGATTTTATAAGAGGTGTATCCTTACGCAGTAACATTATGTAAATTAAATAAATTTAGCAACATATCGCTATGCACGTAAACATAATCATATTCAATTCAAATATTGTATTAAATCATACCTCAAAGCTATGAGTACGGAGCTCTCGAAAAGATGTATTACAAAACAGTATTACAGCGATGTGTTTCCTTATAATATAGGAAAAAATATAGTCCAAAGAATTTGTCGATGAAAGTTTTCAACTTTTTTGTGAACGTTTTAATCATATATACCTTACATAAGATTATTTTAGATAGTAATTTTGGACTTCGAGACTTTTTTTCAGTGATCAAAATTTTAAATCTTACAAGTACCGTTTAATCAAAACACGATGAATGCATTACAGGGAGAGGGATCACCTTATGCCCTCATTGCTTTGCAGCTCTGGGTATTTTGAGTATTTGTAGGAATCTTTAAGAACTTTATTTTGATGTTTTATACAGAACGTAAAACGGGTGCTTTACGATCCATTTATAATCCTTCTCGTTCCGGTTTCTGGTAAAAGGAATGTAAAACTCTACAATTAATTAGCACAATATTGTTTTAATTGTTATCATTGCCCTCAATAATTAGATGCACAACCAATATCTGCTACGATTTTGTAAACGCACATGATTGCAATCACAGGCAATGTTGTCAGGCAAAATATTGGCAAACTTTCAAAGCAATACCTAATGGTAA